TTTGCTAAGCCTGAACCCAAACGCAGCTCCAAGCTTCACAAGAGCTTTGTTTCCTCCGCTCTGCTCCTCTCTGCTGCGATATTTGATGTCTCTCTGGCTCCCCAGGGGCAGAGCCCGGAGGAACGCTTGCAAATGAACATGAATTTCTGGAAGGTTTTTTTATCATCACTCCCAGGACCGAGATGGCCGCTCTCTGCGCCGGAGCCGTGTAGCTGGGCTTTGATACGGCAAGCCGCAGCCCGGCGGGGGGCTGGCTCCCCTGCTTGCTCTGTAAGCCGGAGACAAAGATGCCACCGGGGATATTTTGCATTCTGAAATTCATCCGCGTTCGCTCCCGGCGATGCCTGCAGCTGGTTTCAGCAGCACGCTCGCCCCGTGCGAGCTGCGCTTGGCCTTGCCTTAACCCTAACAGCAGGCACAAAAGCCAGCGAGAGCTGCCAAAGCATCGAGCAAAGCTCCAGGTTGTCCCTACACAAAGGGAACTTCAGCGTTCACAGCACCGGGATTTGCAAACGCCAGTGATAGGGGTCAGCTCTTAGCGAAATCCCTGCCAGTCGGGCTCTCCGGCTCTGGTCCACCTAAAAACCAAGCTCTGCTTTTGCTCCTTGCCCCCCTAAATTGCTCCTTGCAGCTTCACATGGAGCAGTAACGCACCTCCACACGGGGAGTTCTTGCCACAAGGTGACCATGAGCCAGCAGCTTGCCCTGGGTGCCAAGAAGGCCAATGGGATCCTGGGGTGCATCAAGAGGAGTGTGGGCAGCAGGGCGAGGGAGGTTCTCCTCCCCCTCTGCCCTGCCCTAGTGAGGCCCCATCTGCAGTGCTGTGTCCAGTGGTGCGGTGTCCAGTGCTGGGCTCCCCAGTTCGAGAAAGATGAGGAGCTGCTGGAGAGAGTCCAGCGGAGGGCTACGAGGATGAGGAGGGGACTGGAGCATCTCTCAAACCGGGCTAAGGCCAAGCTGCAGCATGAATTTTGCAAGCCCCCCACGCTGCCAAAATACCTCCTAAGCAGGCTCGGGGGATGAACCCCAAATCCCACACCCCTTTGCCGTCCTGCTTGCAACGCCAAACACACCCGGCCCAGCCACGCTGCGCTGATGCTGCTGCAGCATCTTCGCCCTTCAGCAGTTTGCAAAGGGGAGAAAATGAAGGTGTAGAGCTAGAAATTGCTCCCCGTTGCTGCCAAATTGCAAGGAGTAAATGGCATCCTGGGGAATTTCGGGATCCCCGGGTGAGCTGCCAGCCAGCTCCTGCCTGCTAGCAAGCTGAGGTACAACGCTCCTGCGCTGGAGATGCGCCGGGCGGGGGAAAACCCTTGCTCGTTGGGCTGAGGGCACAGCCAGGCCCTGGGATTATCACAGAATCCCAGCATGGTCGGGGTTGGCAGGGCCCTCTGTGGGTCACCCAGCCCAACCACCTGCCCAAGCAGGGTCACCCACAGCAGGCTGCACAGCACCACGGCCAGGCGGGGCTGGAACATCTC